AGCCCTTCTCTAGTCTACTTAAAGCTGAACTCCAGGAGGGACCCAGTAGGCTCCACCCACTATAGGCTGCCTGCAGAAAACTACCGGAGGGGGGCGTAGATGAGACCAGTCACCCTGCACAAGAGGAGAGAGCAGCAGTGAGCGGTCTTTATTACAGGAGGGGGCGGAGCCGAGACCAGTAACCCTGCACAAGGGGAGAGAGAGCAGCAGTGACTAGTTTTTATTACAGGAGGGGTCAGAGACAAGACCAGTCACCCTGTACAAGTAGAGAGAACAGCAGTGGCCGGTCTTTATTACAGGAGGGGGCGGAGCCGAGACCAGTAACCCTGCACAAGGGGAGAGAGAGCAGCAGTGACTAGTTTTTATTACAGGAGGGGGCAGAGACAAGACCAGTCACCCTGCACAAGGAGAGAGAGCAGCAGTGAGCGGTCTTTATTACAGGAGGGGGCGGGGACAAGACCAGTGACCCTGCACAAGGATAGAATAGCAGTGAGCGGTCTTTATTACAGGAGGGGGCAGAGACAAGACCAGTCACCCTGCACAAGGAGAGAGAGCAGCAGTGAGCGGTCTTTATTACAAGAGGGGGCGGAGCCAAGATCAGTCACCATGTACAAGGAGAGAGAGCAGCAGTGAGCGGTCTTTATTACAGAAAGCTCCAAGTCTCACACTGGATTACTGCACAGATCTGGAAGAAATACACAAATCTCACCATGACTCGGGGAAGTATACACAGGACTCTTGCACAATATTCGTTAATCCCGGAGTTCAGCTTTAAAACAAAAAGTTTTTGTCTCTGATGGGAAGATCTTCCCTTACTTATAATATTGACACCCTGACACACAGGTTGTCACCTGGACAGGAAGTGAATGAAAATCCTTGAACGGGGAACACAGACAATATGAAATGTCCCTGCTGCCCTCTCTGCATCGTTTTGCCTGCAGTTGGGCTTTGGCTGGTGACGCGCAGCGGCTGGACGTCGTACCTCTTCCTCTCCGTATTGTACAAATGTGGGAAGCCCGTCCGCCAAACCTTGTAAACTACAAATTATTTAACCTCTCTGCTGCCAAGACTGTGGCGCCCCCTGGTGCTGGCCGTAGGACGCAGCAGCCCAGTGGGCGGGGTACGACTGTATTACATGTTACAAGATGTGAGCGTATGATGTAGACGTGTCATTGTACGTGCCATTGTCACACGGCGGATACTGTAGTTTAAATGACAATAAAGAATATTACGTCCGCCCGGCATGTGTTGTGATGACTGTGGCGGGGGGTGGAGATGCATCA